AAATAATAGTTCAAATCGATAGATAAACAATAAACTTAATCTAACGAAACTTAAGATCATTAATCGTTCACGATGATGATTCACCTTTGCAATTGAAACTTTTACTTTCTTAATTGATAATATCCTTCTTAACTTCATTATTAACAACATTACTTTGTATTTCTTATCTTGATCCAATCTAATTGTTACTAAATTATTAAAGGATTGATCCATTTCTATCCTTCTTAACTTCATTATTAACAACATTACTTTGTATTTCTTATCTTGATCCAATCTAATTGTTACTAAATTATTAAAGGACTTGATCCATTTCTAACTCAGATTTTCGATTTAATTTTACATAAAGAGAACAGAAGATATGATAAATTTAGTTCAATTTTTGTCTCTCTAGGACTTATTTTTGCGTAAAACGGGTTTATAGACGAAACTTTGAATCAATTTTGCAAACTCATACATAGAATAATTTAAACTAATCAATAGCAATTTATGATCTTTATCAATATCTACTTTAAATCTGAAATCTTTGGCTGTATGAAACGAAATAGACCTTAAAGTCCCTTTCATTTATTACTGAAAACGGAATGAAACTCAACAGTCGATAGACATTTGATACTCTGTTTATCGAGTGAAAAGTTTACCTATCGAACTGCGTTTCGAGATATTCAATAAAACTATTGACAATTTTACAGCTAATGATAAAAGATAGAAACAAATTTTCACGTACATGATATTTGAAAGCGCGATATAATTCCGGTGAAAAGGTTAACAAAATAACCGCTGATTTTGACTTAATTTGCAGCTCGATTGAAAACTAAGGTTATTTTGTTAACTGCACCGGAATTATAGCAGCTTTCAATATGTACGTTATCTTTATCATTAGCTGTAAAACTTTCCGCTCCGTCAATTTATCTCGATGAACTCACTCGAACTGTAACAATCAACGAATGGAAACTCAGCAAAGAGTAACCATGTCAACGAATGGAACTCAGTTGATAACAACAATTAACTGAAAACAAAGTTGATCAACAATCAACGTTGACGTTGTAATGGAAAAGTTTATCATTCTTTTATCATCCTTAATCATCTTAGATGATAAGAGAATGTCCTTTTCTTATATCATCCAGTTAATTGTGTTTTAGTTTCTTAAATTGCAAAAGACTCACAATTTACAGAATCATCAAACTCCATGAATTCTGGTTATCTCTGAATAACGATAATCTTTAATTTCCACATCGATTGACATGCTAATTATACTCTTAGTGTTTTTGATTATCATGATGAAAATGATTAAGATCCAAAATAATCAAGGAAGCGAAACTAATCACAATTAAGATTCAAAGATAATCTCTTGATCACAATTCATGGTTAAAACAATGATTACAATGTTGAATGTGAAAAATCATATGGTCCATGATTAAATTGTTAACCAAATGTGTCAATATTTGCAATTAGCTAATAATCAGTTTCAATAATGATTATATAATTATCTTAATCACCATTAATCTTATCCGAGGAAGGAAAACTTTACATGATTAATCCCCAATGTACTAATCACTATTGATTGACTTGGATTAATCTCGTTACAATGGCTAATAAATTACACTTTAATTAATACGATTAGCTGATTATTTGTTAAAATTGTCAACTTAATTCCTGTTTGATACTTTAAAAGATTAACAAGAATTGAATTGTAATGATTATAAATTAGAATTGACAGTTGTTAATTACTAGGGTATTACAATTGGATTAAAATTCATTAGATATATGCATATAAATGAACATCAACTTACTGATATATATAAATTAGGTTAATTGTGGTTTCTACTAATCAAAATTAATTAGAGATTCAAAAATTAATAATGAAATATTTTTCATTACAATAATCTAACTCATAATTAGATTAGTTTCTTACCATTTCACTAAACATAATCAAGTTAATTGTCACCATTGATATTGTATCTTTTAGTTAATTTAATCAATAGATCTTCATGATGATATTTTTATCTTACCCAAATAACAATCAATCAATCATGTTTTTCAATTGTTGTTAAAAAATAGATTCAGTTGAAGACAATTAATTGTGAATGGAAAAATATAGAACCAACAATTAAGGTCAACACTTAATCACCAAGAAAGGTTAGATGTCCTCATATAATGTAAATAACTTTTGACTCAATTGGAAATGAAATCAATCATAATCAACAATTAACGTTAATCATTTAGCTAACTAAAGGAATACAACAAAAATAGGAAAGTGATAATTAAACAATTAGATTTAGTTTCTCGGTAAAACAACGCTATTGAATTTGACATTGAATCTTATTTGTTGATATCCATTGATTTTGGAAATAAATTCAATTATTAGATATCATGATTGTTACAATCAATAAATTTTAATTATACAAGAAATTTCCATTCGATAATAACCCGATTGTTTGATTGACTTAAATACGATTTAACTGTATATTAATCAATTGATAAGGTCAAAGTTTGAGGACTATTGATGAAAAATCAATTGTTAAATGTTGAAAGTTAATTGTTCTTAATTTGGTTAATCTTTAAATTGTCTCGAGTATTTGACTTGTTGGAAAAGTTTAAGAAAATGTGAATAATTGGAAGTTTTCATTTTCTCATGAAAATTTTTCACTCTTTCAACTTGTTTCCTTTTCTTTTGTTCTAATCATAATAAACTAATCATCAACTCAATCATCATGATGAAGATCATGATGAGAAATAGAGAGATGGGAGAAATTAAATAGAGAGAAAACAACAGAATTATGTTCAAGTCACGAAATTTGTCTTATTAAATCGATAGAAAATAGTAATAATAATATTTCGAAGGTAAAATAGTTTACTAATCATTGAAGAATCGAAGTTTTTTTTTCTCTCTTCTCTTTCTCTCAATTGCTCAATTTTACGAATTGTGAACGAAACATCGAAAATTATGTGGGATGAACTTACGCTTTTCTTGTGTTCGATTCCTTGGTGGTAAAATTATTTATATCGACAAGAATCATAGACTCGAAAACTTTATTCGAAGAGATCAATCCCTTGGTCTTAAGTTCTCGAATGTAGGCACGATGTTCCTCAGAGACGGCTTTCGATTGCGAGTAGAGAAGATCAAACTTTAGAAGCGACGTGATTCCCTTTTTGGAGTCAAGTTCATTTTTAAGCTTACGAATTTCATCTCGCTGTTTATCATTTTCTTCCTTAAGTTTACCATTAGTTAACTTGAGTCGACGATTTTCTGACCTTAACTCTCGACACTCTTTAACCACTTCATCAATATAACTATCTCGCTCTGAGATTACCGATTGTAAGTAACTCAGGCAACAATGTGTAGCGATTTCCTTTCGTTTCATTACAGCACCACAATTATTGGCACAGGTTAGACTATTTTCCGGATTAAATGAACAAGATTCCCGGTGACCTGGTAAATCGTCCAATTTAACGTACTGATAACACCCGTTCGAAGCGTAATCACATTTTATCTCTAAATTGGATACAAAAGTTTTCACACTCTTGGGTATCTCAAGGTCACTTGGGGCCAACGGTTTCTTACATTTGGGACATACAACAGTCGAACTGGTGACCGCTGAGTTCAGGGATTGATTTGATGAGGAAGAGTTTGGTGTTGATGTAGTGGACGATGATTGACCTCCGCCTCCAGACTCATTGAGAATCGGAGTAATACAACCTCGACAATAAACGTGTTTACAATTGTAACTTTGAATCGGATCATCGAGTACACTTTGACAAACACAACAGATCACAACGGAACTGACCGGTCCACGGAAACGATTTAGATCATAGCCCATTTTTTCAGTTTGATCTAAACAACGATCTTTATCCTAAAACAATTAAACGATTCCTATGGTAATAGGAACAATTTAGAATTGACAATCTGAACTTTGGTGAAAAATTTAGTTATATCTTTTTCTTAACTTTTTCCGAATATATTAATTCACCACAATTTAAAATAATTTGATTTTAAACTTTTCTTTTAATTGTAACTTATTTATATTCTTATTCTGATTAACTTTGCCTCTTTGAGATTCAATCATTGAATGAAAGTGTATATGGAATAACTTTCATCGTCTCAATGATTTAACCACTATTATTATTATTACAATTAGTTGATTGTTACGAGCATGTCACAACTTATTGATATTATTATAATGAAAGTTTATCAACAATTCCGAGCTTTAATCAGTTTATTCTGGGAATCATGATTTGATTGTTGATAATTATTCAATTATAACAGTTTTTTAATTAAGGTTTGACAAATAAATCGGATAATTAAATCAACCCTTTAGGCGATATTTATCTTTAGAGCAATTAAATTGATTTTGAAATTGTATCAACTGTTTCCATGGTGGACTTTAGTTAATAGTTAATCGGTTAATTGTCTGAAACTCTGTTGGTTTTTATTTTTGTTATAATTAAATTGTATCATTTACAAAGTCATTGAATTTGATATTACTGGTTGATTGTTGATCTAATTTTTTTTTCTGATTACCTGCTGAGAGATTGATTCTTGAATGAAACTTTTGCCAATGTTTGGATAATTTTCTGTTTATTTGCTCAACAATTTAATTTAAACATCGGATGATGATTGTTGATGAATTTCAACAATTTAAAATTAAAAGAAACGTTTTCTAATTTAAAGGTTAAAATAACAAAATTAGTTTATCAAAGGCAATTAATTGATTCTCCTCAACATGAGGCTTGAAATTTTCATTTCCAAGGTTAATAAACAGAATTGAATTGATTATTTTTTCCATCTCTCATTAATTTAGAGCATTAATTTAATTCAATTCCAAAGTTAATTTTAAATTTGAAGAATTTTCATTCGATACAATTTCTTTTTTCTAATTATCAATACTTATCATCGGAATTCCATTTCTATACCTATGGTAACCTTTGATTAACCTTAATTGTTGCCTTATCAATTTTGATTTTGGAATAACAATTTTAATCAAATTATCAATAATCACAATTAAAATGAAAAAATTGAAAGAAATTTTTTCAGTTTGTACTTTGGAAACGCTCCCTGAATCGGACATGTGTTTTTCTGGTGACATTTTGGTTTAATTGTTTTGATTTTATTTCTCTGTTAATTTAAAGGTTAATTTGCTTATTGTGATTAATTTAATTGTTAAATTATGGGCAAGAAGAAGCTAAAGAAGATCAAGAAATTAAATTTGGTCTTTGATGAGGAGGAACGGAAAGATTATCTATCTGGTAAGATGGTTTGTTTTATATTTTCCATTGAGTTTTTTTTCTGCTAATCTTTAATTGTTATTGTTGATTGTTGACCGATTATTTGAATGAAAACACTAACTTTATCTATTCTCATTGAATTTCAGGATTTCAGAAAAGGAAACAGGAGAGAAAATGAAAGCCAAGGATAAGATTGACAAACAAATGAGAGAATTGAGAATCAAATTGAGAAAAGAGAAACGAGAAAACTTAAACAAGCTTATCTTAATCAACAAGGTGACCCTGATTTAGAAGCGATCCTACCAAAAGAAGCAATTAAAACCTATGATTTACCTGATCAAGTGGTAACAATTAGTCCAATGGATCCTATGGAAATCGGCGGTTCTCTCAATCTGTTAATGGGTTATAATAAGTTTTCCTCCCTACCTGACGATGATGCAGGTGAAGGTGTTTCTAGCAATTCTACTGCTAAAAGATAATAGTTTCACTATTAATAAATTAAACCAATTGTGTAATATTCAACCGTTTACCCAAACAATCAAAATATTTTGCCTAAAAAAATCGCATTGGTGAAAAACAAAACTCGGTTCTATTCAAATCATATCGTTACTTTAAAGGACTACACTAATCAACTAATTCCAAGGGTAGTTGATGATTGGATAATAAACTGATATAAATATTTGGAAATTGATTATTCCAAGTAAACGTATTTAGCAGCGAGATGTATGGGTGGCTTCGAATCTTGCAACATATCTTCGGTTATCTTGTGTTCGGCCATTGTTTTCTCGATCCATTCCAGTTTTCGAGCCTTTTCCTCGGCAAATTTGATCTTCTCCTGGTTTAATATCTCCTTATATTCATCTAATTTCTTTTTTTTAATATCCTTACAATAAGTTTCACAAGTTTCTCTTATGGTTCGTTTTCTCTCTAGGAATGGATAAGGCCAATAATAGGGTAGCGGCACTTTAAAGTCGATCTCTAATTTGTCGCAAAGCATTTGACACGATTCTCTGTCAATCTTATACAATTCGACCAGAAATTTGTAACGTTTGTTAATATATCTAGAAACAAGATTCTTATGACCAGCACTCTGAGAAAATTAGAGAATTACAGTTAATTAATAATCAAATTTGAATAGAAATGGAAATGAAATTTTTGTATTGCCCAAGAGAAATAAACTTACATTTTGAGATTCATTTCTAATCACGTCTCTTATGTGCCTAATTGCTACTGTCAATCGGATTACTGTTGACCGAAGAAGATGAAGTTATAAATTGAATCAATAGGAATTAGAATTAAATTGTCAACAATGCTAACCTTTTCTTTCATATTCATTTTTGTCCAACAAACGTCTTCGTATTGGTAAGTTTGATTCGTATAAAGAATTTTGAAGAATTTTCAATTCTCTGAAGTAAATGGATAAAAGGAGAAAGAGATTAATTAAAGGAGAGATTTACTAAATTACTATTGATTTGATTTCTTACTCTTCGAGCAAATCTAAGGGTATACAATTTCTTGACCGATTCTGGTGCACTAGAATAAAAGAAAAGAGAAACAAATTAACATCATAAGAATAGAATCACTGTGAAACTAATTACTTTTTAAGAATCTCAAGATTCTTTAGATTTGGTTTGATTTGATCGAGATCGAATTTATCTAAACCTTCTTTACGATCACCCGACTCGAAGAATCCAGGTTGAGGTTCAGGTTTTTTCCAATCAAATGGAACCCAATTGTTGGGCCAAGTCTTCCAGACTCTCATGTGTCTATTTTGATTGAAATTCATCAATTCACTGGCACAAGGACGTAAGAGATTAGACCAGCTTTCTAATGATCCCATTAGAACCTTCAATCTACAGGGTAACATGATGAAAAGAAATTCAAAACAAATAAATTGATTGCAAGTAATTAAAGAAAATCAAAAAATAATCAAAAATGTAAACAATCAAAACATTTGGTTAACAATTTTAAAGATCCAAATAAAAGATCAGATATTCAACCAGATACCAAGAAAATCAACCGATTTCGAAGGTTAAATCATTTTGGAATTAGGAAAAATCATTAGAAAGCTAAATAGCTGGTATAGAATTCGCTTTCAATAAGAGTAAAATTTTTTAATTTCTTTTTATAACCAAACAATTAACAATTAATCAACTATTAACTTGTATCTAACTCAGAGGGTTAGTGTATTTTCTGGATTCGAGTCTCTAAAAGTGCGCGAAGTTTAAATTACGTTTCTCCATTAATTGTAAACTAAGAGAAAGTATTTTTAGATAACAAAGTCATTAATTTTTCCCAAAATTGTTATGGTTCAATAATTTTTTTTCAATACTCAACAAATCAACGAGAAGTATGAGAAGGATAAGTATAAAAGATAAATAGATAAATTTTCTAAAGTGGAAGTTTTTTTCCAACCAAATTAATCAATCATTGAAGAAAATTGATCAGAGCAATTTAAAGAGACATAATTTAGAGCCGGAAATCAACAGAACAAGAAACAAGATGAATGATTAACAAGATTCTTAAAAACAACAATTTAACATGTAAATTGCGAGTAAATTACCATCATGAAACCAGAGAAAGAAAGAGAGGAAAATAAAAGAAACTTTTAATTTCTATTTTTATCAGAGTAACAAAATTCCAACTCAATATGTTTATTTGAACCTTCAACATTCAGCCGAAAATATTTCATGGAGAGAAAATTCTGACTCTGAAAACATGATAACACTTAAAATGCAACATAAAGTTACATCAATCACAATAAATTATCGAGAAATCAGATGAGACAGTTAGAGTTGAGTTATATTTTTTTCTTTCGAAAAAAATGAAAAGAACTTTTTTTTCCTTCCAAAAAGGAAGATAATATTTATGTCATTGGAATGATGATGAAGACAACTACTTATTACCCATTAAGACAAGAGGTGTAGATGATGAGGATGAAGATGAAGACTGAAGAGTATGTGTCATCCATTAAGAAAAACTTTTCAAGTTGTCATGTTAACTCAATTTTTCATTTTCTATCGTTAATTTTAAATTGCTAATTCAAATCATCTAATCAATGTATCATCATGAACATCATGATTGGCTTAATATGGTTACAATTAAAATGTCCGTTAGAAGTTTTCAGAATTAATTTTCAACGAAATTTTCAAGCCAAAGAAAAAATTTTAAGCTTCGATGAGAAGAGATAAAAAAAGTTCTGATGATAATAAAGATAATATTCTGATCATCATCATGATAATGGAAACAAATAAATGAAATATGAAATGTAATAAATATTAGAACTTTTTTCTTGCCGTTGCTTTCAGTTTTTTTTTGCGAATTTTTCAAAATTTTCTCCCCTGAGAATAAGATTAGAACTTTTTTTCTCCACTTTCATCTTTTCGAGTTTTTTTTCACCTCGACAACTTGTTCCAGAACTTTTTTCTCTCGATTTCTCTTACGATTTTAAATGCTTTTCGTGAGCAATTTATTATTATTGTTATGATTTTCATTCAAACCATTAGATTGTCTCATGTATTATATTACAATTGTTATCATCTTCATCATCTCTTTATGAATACTGTTATTTTCACCCACAACCAACTTAGTTGTTTCAGTGTCAACTCAGCATTTGATATCATTTCTTATTCAATTCCCAGTCGAGTTTTAAACTTGAGTGAGAAGAAAAATTTACTGTTAGAACTCGAAGAAGAAGATAAGGGGAAAAAGTTCGATAGAATTTTCAATCATGTTCATGATGATGAATCACAGGGTAGAATGAAAAATTCATTCAAGTTTCCTAATTCTAATAAGTTTTAGTTTATCGTGATCATCATGAGGTAAAGTGATCAGTTCTATGTTCATTAATCAGCCAATTGTTATTTCAAGTTTGACTATCAGTAGTTTGGGTTAACCAACAATCAACAATTCAAACATCATCATTCATCAAACTCATTTACAGTTACATTTATTAATAACTTCTCACCATCTTATTGGTATGATAATTGATGGGCTCTTATTTTATTTAGATGAATATTCATAATATCATGATAAAAGTGTTATAATTTATGAATAATATTGGACAGAGTCTATTGAATCGACTATCATGTAAGCATAGCTATTTTCAAATCAAATGTAGTTGATTTTCATAATTAAACTTATCAATCTAATCACAACTATTAATAGGGTGACAATTATGACTCACAAATCAGTATATTGAGAATGGAGCTCATACAAATTGATGACTCAAAATTTTTATCTAATTGACCGGAAGTGAAAGAAAAAAGATGAAACAGAGAGACAGAGGATAAATTGAAAGAAGAAAATAAATTGTAATTGGAAATCTAATTGATGTAAACGGTTAATTAACTGTAGATGAATTCAAGTTGAGTTTGTATGACAAGGAATCAGGAAAAGGACAAATAATGATGATAATACAATTTTCAAATATAATGATGAAGATTGAAGACGAGGGATGATGATTAAAGAGTCTTGACTAATTGCAATCAAAATTGTTATAATATCAGAAAATGAGAGAGATTATATAATAATAACACGGAAAATCAACATGATGAACATTTTTATCTTCTTGTCTAATTCATTCAGAGGAATATCTCTAGATACTCATCATATCTCTCTCTCTCTCTCTCTCTCTCTCTCTCTCTCTCTCTCTCTCTCTCTCTCTCTCTCTCTCTCTAAGGAAGATACAAAAATTTGAATACTTGATTTAATCTGGAAACAGTTTCTCATTCAAACCAATGAACAGTTAACAAAAATTCAGTTTCAATAATTTATTCCCAAGAAAATTATTGACACAAAAATAAATTCACCCTCCAATTCACTAAACTGTAACTACTCATCATCCACCTTTTCATCCTCATCCCTTACAGAATTCATCTCCCATCAACCTTTTCCTCCTTTCCTCAACCATGAACTCATGAGGAAAACCTTAATTGTTGGCAGAACAGCAAATTGGTTTTCCAACATGGGATAAAAATATTTCCTCTCTCTCTCTCCCATCCCTACGCTGAAAATTTACACGATAAAAGTTCAGATTCTGAATAAATAACATTATCATGGATTCATCACCTTAGGCAATTTTATCATTATCAAACACACTGATGATCATCATCATCAGAATGATAATAATAATCTGATATGGTAACATTACCATATAACTATTAGCTTACAATTCATGGTAACATATAAACACAACAATCAACTTTGATTGCGTTTCAAGTAATCATTACAATAGTAATAACCATCGCTTCAGAATAACATTACATGAAATTCATTTCAAATTCATGATGCAAAAAAATTTATATATATGATATTCATGATATCTTATGGTTAGTTGGTATTTGTTTAACTAACCAGAAACAAAATTATTCAACAAACTTGATAAGTTGTTTGTTTATTTGATTGACACTTACCATGGGAATTGAAATTCACCCAGAACTTGAACCATAATCTTTCTGAATACATTGATGATAAATATCATTCTCATCATCAAACCCACCATCCAACTCATCCCTCCATTG